CCACTGACTGCTTTCTTCCTCAAAGTTACCTGACTCTTAACTGCACCGTCTAGTACCTGGCGACAGTTGGTTCTGTTGACCCTTCCCACGATACTGGGTCCTGAACTGCCTCTATCCACCTTGTTTGTGTGAGATATCCTTTCTGTACATTTTTATGCCACTGCTAGCTGCTCGCTAACCGTGCCGCCTCCATCAAGTCCCATATTTATTTCATCTTTCACATCAGGGTGTACCAAATTTTTAGACTGCTCTAACATAACCAGCTATCTCAAATCCTCAAAAGTTTTCACCCCCTCTGCCTTGCACCACCTATCAAATTTCACTCTACAATTCCTACCTAACTCCAGGTAAGTCTGATTTTGCAATTTCTTGATATCCCCGAACCTTACTCTATACACTTCTGGAACCATTTGTACCGTGTTTAACACAGCCTTTTTCACAGCCTCATAATCAACAGACTCTGTCATATCTAAATAAGCATAAACCTCCCTCGCTTTTCCTACGAACCGCATCTGAACCAGAAGAGCCCAATCATTTTCATCCCATTCTTAATTTTGCTATTTTCTCAAACTGGATAAAGAAATCTTCATGCTTCCTCTTCAACAAACTCTGGTAACTGGCTAATTCTTTAACCTTTTTCTCTGTTTACAAGTCTTATACCCATCTTTGCCTCTACTTCTAATTCTTTAAGTCTTATCCCTCTCTCGGCTTAGATTCTCTTTCTCTGCCTCTGCTTGGATTCTCTTTTACCCAAGTTCTAAAAATAGAGTGCATAACCCACGAACCACTGGAATTCCGGGTCAAGTAAGAGAGGCATCCGTGTGTGGCTGTGGTGAGTATGAGCACCACCACCTGATATCCAGATTTATGATCTTAACAATACCACTCTGCCTTCTCACGGTGAGCCTTATAACAGTCTGTCGGACACCACACAACGCACCTCACGTCTCATTTGGGAGTCATGGACAGTATCTAACGCTGTGCAAATAACATCTGTGGGTCTTTAATCTACTTACCTGTTATCACCTGCGAACTGGATTTGAGTCGTGCTGAATTATTAACTCTTAAGGTCCATCAGGTGTGGTTAGTTACTACGGTGTTCTTGTTAATTGTTTTAACATGATGATGATGATGATAATAAAGATGACGATAGTGATGATGATGTTGGATGGTTTGATGGTAGCAATGATGATGGTGATGAGGAGCATACGTGATACGGTGAATTTTGACAAATTCTTTACTTAGTGATAACTAGTGTTTTGTTAAAGAACACACACACACACTACTACTTTGCTGTCTCTCGGAATCGAGTGTGACGATCATCCAGCTATGATACAATGATATGAGTTATTAGGAATGTCACCTTCATTTGGTGAGTTTTGAGGTGACTAAAGAGGCCGATACGGGACCAGCAGAGTCGTTCACATGAGTTGCACACGTGGAGGGCTACCCAGAGAGCGGGAAGGGCGGTGGCAGTGTCTTTCCTGCATTGGCGCTTGTCTGCCTTGGTTTGCAGTCGGGCTAACTTGAAAGTATTGACACCTTCTCGTGTGGTGCTCCTCCAAGCGTTACGATGTGGAGTAATCGACACCCAGGTCAGGTGGGTCGATTTGGCACTTTTTCAGGTTTGTCTTAAAACTATCCTTATATCTTTTCAGTTGACGCCGGCGTTACGTTTACTATTCGTTAGGTGACTATAAAGTAGCTGTTTTAGCAGTCTACTGTCGTCCATGCGGGTATCATGGTCAGTCCAGCGTAGTTGTTCATGGATAATGGTAGCCTCGATGCTCCTACAGTTGGTGTCAGAAAGAATACTGGCACTTGTTCTTTTGTCTTCCCAGGGAACAAGGAGGATGGAACGTAAACTATGTTGGCGAAAGATTTCAAGTGCCTTGAGGTGCCTCCTGTATGTGACCTATATCTCACTGCCATATAGCATGGTGAGGAGGCTCACTGCTTGATATACGTGCAACTTTGTAGATAATTTCAGCTCCCTACAGCTGAAGACACGGTTTCGGGGTCTGCCAAAGGCTTGAGATGCACATCTGATCCGATGCTGAATCTCTTCATCAATGTCGGTAGTACCGTTAAGCTGGACGGATGGTGAAGGTGTGTCTGAACCAGGGGCAGGTTGAAAGAGAATTTGAGTCTTACGTACATGCAACTCAAGGCCGAAGTGTGCATACGCATCTGCGTAGCTGTTTAGGATCTCCTGTAGGTCGTTTTCAGTATGAGCAACAAGGGTGAGAGTCATCTGCATGCTAAAGTTCAGGAATGGAAGCTGCCGACACCTTTATTCTTGCATGGAGTCGTCTTAAGAACATAAGAACATAAGAAAATAAGGAGTCTGCAATAGGCCGGTTGGCTTGTGCCTGGCAGCTCCTGTCGAGAGTTACTACCACGCGCTATCATCCATGAATCTATCTAGCCTCCTTTTAAAACTTTCCAGCGTTCCAGCATTTACTGCAAAGTTGTTAAGCTTGTTCCACTCATTTACCACCCTATTTGTGAACCAGTTCCATCCTATCTCCCTCCTAAACATAAACTTATCCAACTTAAATCCGTTGCTACGAGTCCTATCCTGCTCGAATATTATAAGAACTTTATCTATATCTTCTATCATATCTCCCAGCACTCTTCGTCTTTCTATGGAATGCAAGTTTAGTTTTTTTAATCTGTCTTGATATGGAAGGTTTCTAAGTCCCGGAATCATTTTCGTCATTCTTCGCTGCACCGACTCTAGTGAATTGATATCCATTCTATAATAAGGGCACCAGAACTGTACCGCATAATCGAGGTGCGGCCTGACTCGCGCAAGATATAGTTGCAATAAGACCTCTGCACTCTTATTACTTACACTTCTAGATATAAAACCCAATACTCTGTTTGCCTTATTTCGAACATTAACGCACTGTTTTCTAGGCCGTAGGTCCGGGCTTACAAGTACCCCTAGGTCTCTTTCACAAATCGACTTCTCTAGGTTGATGTTGTTAAGGCTGTATACATTGACAGTATTTGTTCTTCCAATATTAAGTACGCTGCACTTGCTGGTGTTGAATTTCATTTGCCATTTTTCAGACCACCCCTGCAGTTTAATTAGATCCTCCTGTAGTGCATTTGCATCCTGCCCTGAATTTATCTGCCGCCCTATTTTAGTGTCATCCGGAAACTTGCCTATGTCACTGCTGATCCCAGTATCTAGATCGTTTATGTAGATTATGAACAGGAGTGGGCCTAGTACTGACCCCTGGGGAACCCCACTGGTTACACGGCCCCACTCAGATTTAACACCATCTGATGATTATTCCCTTTTTTCCGGTGCCATATTTTCCTATTGCCATTTTTTCTGTGCCATTTTTTCCCTGCGCCATTTTTTCCTACATTCGGTCAGGTACATACTTACCTGTTGATTATGTGTCTCTAGTACCGGTTGTTTTTGTGTCTCTATTGCATGTTGATTTTGTTCCCATTACCTGTTGTTTTTGTGACTATTACATCTTAGTTGTTTTTTCAATTACATGTAGATTTTTACCCCATTACCTGTTGTTTTGGTGTCTCTATTACCGGTAGTGTCGGATTTAGACCAGTGGAGGCCCACAGGCAGCCTCATTGTGGAGGCCCCCCTCATTATATCTACCCAAGAGGGTGGGGTGGCGAGTGAAGCGAGCCTAAACATCTGGGAGTTCCGGGGGTGCTGTAAGCCCCCCGGGAAAATTTTGAAATTTGAACACTTCTTTGGAGAATTTTGAAGCCATATGCAGTTATATTGAGGAAATTAGAACATTGAGAAATTTTTAATTAACTGTATATTTATTGATAGTGTACAAATTCCCAACACACACAAACACACACACACAAGTGAGACATGACTGGAGTCATTCATGTGGCTTCAAGTCGACCAGCCCTGATATAGCTACTACCGCACATGTTAAAAATTTTCAAGACACTTCACAGAAAAGAATATATTATTAGTTATTACAGAGAGATGATTCTTTGCATTATTCATGAATTTCAAGGAGTAGCTAGCCTAATTTCTATCACGCTTCTTGCTGAACATAGTTTTACGTGGTGGAATAGATAAACATGAATTTTAAAGAATTAAAATAAAAATAATCCAAATTAATAAACAAATAAATAAAATATTGCAATATGTGGAGGCCCCCAGATTGTGGAGGCCCCTGGGCAGCTGCCCACTTTGCCCACTCCTGAATCCGGCCCTGATTACCGGTTGATTTTGTGTCTATTACCTGTTGTTTTTGTTTCTCTATTATCCGTTGACTTCGGCCCCATTACCTGTTGAATTTGTCCACCTTACCTGCTGTTTTTGTGTCTCTATCACCTGTTGTTTTTGTCTCTATTACCTGTTGACTTTGTCCCCATTACCTGTTGAATTTGACCCCATTACTTGCTGTTTTTGTGTTTATTATCCGTTGATTTGGTCCCATTACCAGTTGTTTATGTGTCTATTACCTGTTGTTTTTGTCTCTATTACTTGTTGATTTTTCCCCATTACTTGTTGATTTTTTTTGTAAACGTATTCCATGGTACAGTACCTGTGTAATTATGACAAAAGGTTACAATGTGTCCTCTGTTACGTGAACGCACTATTATACAAAAAAAATGTAATTCTTAGGAATTAAGAGTTTTTGAGGTTTATTCTATAACTCGGATTAAAATGAGTACGTTGTAATTTTGCTGTGCCCATTTTATTGTGATTCCAATAAAATGTAATACGCCAACAGAAGGTTAGTGTAAGTGTCAGGTGGGATTCTTTTCTTTGTGGGATGAAATATTTTATGCGTTAATATAAAGCGGGAGTTAAAACATAAGTACGGGTTTGCATGATGGTGATAAGAGTTCACCCTTCATCATTATTGAGACAGGCATAACTTAAGAGAAGATTAACAGATGTCAAGGTGTGTGTGTGTGTGTGTGTGTGTGTGTGTGTAGCGTCACGGTAGTTGTGGAGTCATTCTCTGCTGCCGTTCACTTCACTAGCTGGCTGGGCTGGCTAAGAGTAGGGTCGCTCTTCCTTCCCTCCCACCACCCCTATACAGTAGCTCGAGTACGTGCGTTTGTCTGTCTCGTCGTGGGGTGTGAACCGTCGCTGGATATTGTCTGCCTCCCACTCGTCTACTGCTACTGGTGGATCTCGCGACGCTACAAGGCACGGGTGTCTCAGGCTGGAAGGAGCGACTCAAGATTAGTATTACGTCGTTGTATTCCCAGAGGACTTTGTAGAATATTTTGGTGTCGAGCCTGGGTTGAGGACCTGGGGGAATTACGATACAATGTTCCACGCAAACGATAGACACAGTAAGTAATGAGTGGTCCATTACAGTTATATATGTAGAGTTATGTAGATATGAATATGTAATTATGTATCTATTTGGTTACCAATTTACATGTTCTTGCTCTCTTGGAGCAAAACATCGACATTTTTCTCTATCTCAGAAAACCATAGCCAATTCGTTTTCATCTTGAGGTCGGAAACGACTAAAACAATCGTAACAAGTTTCCTCGTTAGAAAACCAGGAAAATGGATGAAAAGAGCTCAAAAAAATTTCCCCTTCAGCCGGATATTGAGATTTTATTGAATGTAATTTAGGTGTGTGTAAAGAGATGCAAACCTGATAGTAATGTAAAACTTTGTTCTTATGAGAATTTTTCGATGATTACATTTCCTCAGAGCACATCGCAGCACATTGCCTGGTACTAAGGAATGTGAATGCTAAATGAAAAGCACTTTGGCCTAAACGTTTTCGAGATGAGATCATCCGAAAACTATGATTCTTGTTGTAATACCCAGATGTGTGTAATAATAATAATAATAATAATAATAATTAAAGGTTCATTGAAAGAGCATGACAGCCGGAAGGCTGAAAATATACAGTTACATAATTGGGGAATGGGTCTCTTGATTGATAAATAACATATAAGTAACAACTGCAATACAAATATGATATACAATAACTAGGTGAGGAGAAGGTCATTCTACACGGCATTTCAACATAGTGACAGTGCAAAAAAGTTAAAATTGACTGGGAGTGAATACACTGGTTGATTACAAGTTATTGGTAATTTTTACAATGGTTGGGATTGATCTGTTCTTATAGTGGTCAGTACGTGGTCGTATAGGCTGGATGAGGTTGTGGTGTCGAACAGCAATTCGCGGACGAGGGATCTCGGGTGGTAGTAGGCGCCGGTGTGTGTGTGTGTGTGTGTGTGTGTGTGTGTGTGTGTGTGTGTGTGTGTGTGTGTGTGTGTGTGTTGCTAATTCCAGTTGGTATGGTATTATACTTGGCGGTCACCTCGTCCCCTAAACTTAGAATTTGATGTAACAGTTGACTCTGGATACCACAGAGAGTGACAGCCTGTATACACAACACCCCTCTAATATTATAAGTGCTTGAGGAACACAACCTCCAATTCACGGGATAAGAGTCCAATTTACTGTCAGCTGAGTTACGTCAGCCGTTATCAAGGCAATCAGAACCTTTACAGATCCAAGCGAATGTACATTGTGAATCGTGTCGAGAATCCCAGACTCTTTGATTACAAAAGTTATTGTACTGAGATGACATTCAGAATTCACACTGATGTGCCAACACCTGGGATGCTCCTCTAACAAACAATAATTCTTTCATTCCGAAAAAGATAAACTTGAATGTTAAAGTAGATCTCCATCATTACAACTTGAATGTTAAAGTAGATCTCCTTCATTACAACTTGAATGTTAAAGTAGAACTCCTTCATTACAACTTGAGTGTTAAAGTAGATCTCCTTCATTACAACTTGAGTGTTAAAGTAGAACTCCTTCATTACGACTTGAATGTTAAAGTAGAACTCCTTCATTACAACTTGAGTGTTAAAGTAGATCTCCTTCATTACAACTTGAGTGTTAAAGTAGAACTCCTTCATTACGACTTGAGTGTTAAAGTACATCTCCTTCATTACGACTTGAGTGTTAAAGTAGAACTCCTTCATTACGACTTGAGTGTTAAAGTAGATCTCCTTCATTACGACCACTGAAGTACTTAGGGATCGACAATTTGCAAAACATTAAGCGTGTAGAAGAGCGGCGTCACCATAATCCACCGTATATTTTAAGGCATCTTTCATGATGTGTTTGATTTAATATACGAAATGTTGTTAGTGCTATATTACTTACTATGATACTCTGTTACTCACTATGATACTCTGTTACTCACTATGATACTCTGTTACTCACTATGATACTCTGTTACTCACTATGATACTCTGTGATACTCTGTTACTCACTATGATACTCTGTTACTCACTATGATACTCTGTTACTCACTATGATACTCTGTTATTCATTATGATACTCTGTTACTCACTGTGATACTCTGTTACTCACTATGATACTCTGTTACTCACTGTGATTGTTACTCACTGTGATACCCTGCTACTCACTATGATACTCTGTTACTCACTATGATACTCTGTTACTCACTATGATACTCTGTTACTCACTATGATACTCTGTTACTCACTATGATACTCTGTTACTCACTATAATACTCTTACTCACACTGATACTCTGTTACTCACTATGATACTCTGTTACTCACTATGATACTCTGTTACTCACAATGATACTCTGTTACTCACTATGATACTCTGTTACTCACTATGATACTCTGTTACTCACTATGATACTCTGTTACAGACATTGATACTTTGTTACTCACTATGATACTCTATTATAGGGGGCAGTGAAATTTTGCTCAAAGCTGCACTCTTCAGGCATTGTTCCTTATACATATCTAAGACTCCATGCCAAATTTGAAGCTGATATGTCGAGGTTTAGTCTGCCGCATTTTCTACTGAAATTTTTAAATTTACCTACAGTACTAGCCAAACAGCCGCTGTGGCGGTGCAATGTTCTGTTCAGTGTTTATCAACTTTTTTTTCATATCTCTTATTTCATTTAAGTTGTCTTGTTGCAGATGAGTATGGTGCTATGTCTATATTGATTATCAGCGTTTTCTCATTTCATTTCTCAATGTTGTGTTACTGTACTGTAATGTAGGGGAGACCTGGGTAAGTTGCCGCTTGTGACCGATACTTGATTAGTGATTATGCTGGAGCTGCCATTGCTACTGCCACCTTAACTGACTATGGCATTATCACAAAGGATGACAAGAGTCAGGTTATTGGACCACATAAGCTGTGGGATGCGAGACAAAAATACCGATTTAAGAGGCAAGAAATTGAGATGGCTAGTTTAGATAATTTGACGTCACTCTATTTTGATGGTAAGAAGACCGCCACTCGTGTGATGATAAAGAATGAGAAGACCGAGAAATGGAGTTCGAGGATGATGGTGAAAGATCATTATGTCATCATGGTTGAGCCTGGCAATGAATATCTCACACATGTGACTCCCAAGACTGGACACGGAAAGCAGATTGCCAAAACTATTCACGAGTTTCTGGTGGAGAAAAATCTAACCCAGCAGCCCATTGTGTGTGTTGGTTGTGATGGAACCAATGTAAATGTAGGATCAGAAAATGGAGTCATTCATCATCTTGAAATGTTACTTGGTCACCCGCTCCATTATTTCATATGTCAGCTTCACGGAAATGAGCTGCCTTTCCGCGCAGTTTTTTATCACTATGATGGTAAACCAAGTGGTCCTGAGCATTGGCGTGGTCCCATTGGAAAGCAGATCAAGGAGTCTTTGTCTGAGCTTCCAGTTGTCGCCTTCCAGCCAGTCAGTTTCCCTGATTTCCCTGTGTTTAATGATGAAGTGGAGAAAGATCTGTCCTGGGATCAGAAATACCTGTATAGGATTTGTAAAGGAGCCAGGTCCTCCCTGTGTGTCAAGGTGGAACACCTTATGGAGTAGAATCCTCAGGCTGTATGTAGCAACATCAAGACCCAGCCATGAGTTGAAAAGAATTGTCATTACTCACAATGATACTGTTATTTACTATGATACTCAATTTGTTAAGTGCATTTTAATTTACTTTATTTTGAATGTCTATATACCTCACTGTATAATACAATATAAGTGGTTTTGTACTTACGTACTTGCATAAATATAAGAAACTAGACATACTACAGGAAAGAGCTAAAAATCTGTACAGAACTTAACGAAAGGCGTAATATGTAAGACAGAACTCAACGAAAGCCTTACATTACTAGACTGAACTTAACGGCAGAGCTCCAAGCCTGGACAGAACTCAACGACAGAGCTAAAATTCTGGACAAAACTCAACGAGAGACTATATGAGCTATTACGACCTGACCATACCGCATTAACATAGATTGGGACAGAGAGATGTCACCCTTCAGAACCGAATAACACGAGACAAGAACTTACCTTTAGAAGTTATTGTTTTGTTAAGACACGCGGAAATAAGTGTCGAGTTCCTGACCAAGCAGAAGGCCATATGGCGCGAACAGCAAGCCACAAGTTGTTGTTGAAGTCGCCTGTAATTACCTACTGCTATATTTATCTCTGTCAGTGAGTGCAGTGACGGTATTGACCATGACAGTGAAGACAGACAGTGAATATGTGGAGGTATTGTCGAACGTAACAGATCAGTGAACACAACAGTGACACACGTGACTGCAACAGTGAATACAACGGTGGCACACGTGACTACAACAGAGAACACAAGAGTAACACACGTGACTACAGCAGTGAACACAACAGTGACACGTGTGACTACAACAGTGACACACGTGACTACAACAATGACACACGTGTCTACAACAGTGAACACAACAGTGCCACACGTGACTACAACAGTGAAAAGAACAGTGACACGTGACTACAACAGTGAACACAACAGTGACACTTGACTACAACAGTGAACACAACAGTGACACGTGACTTCAATAGTGAACACAACAGTGACACACGTGACTACAACAGTGAATACAACGGTGGCACACGTGACTACAGCAGTGATGACAACAGTGACACACGTACTACAACAGTGACCATAACAGTGACACAAATGACTACAACAGTAAAAACAACTGTGACACACGTGACTACAGCAGTGATGACAACAGTGACACACGTGACTACAACAGTGAACACAGCAGTAACACACGTGACTACAACAGTGAACGCAACAGTGACACCGTGACTACAACAGTGAACACAACAGTGACACCGTGACTACAACAGTGACACCGTGACTACAACAGTGAGCACAACAGTGACACACGTGACTACAACAGTGACACACGTGACTACAACAGTGAACACAACAGTGACGAGTAACACTCTCACAAGGCGTCACCTCGCTTTACCGTTCTGTGCTTTGCCATAT